CAGTGTCCATAGAGATCATGGGGGCTTGGGGGCCCTCTGGGGAACACAGCTACGTGACTACAGCCCCACCTAGTACTCCACGGAGGTACCCGGAGCCCTGTTTCTGTATTTTCCTGGATGGCCCAGGTTTTCAGGGTCTGGAACAACTCTGCCCGGTAGAAATACAATATGGGCTGGGGGTGGTGGCTCACGCCTATAATCCCAGCACTTTGGGAGACCAAGGTGGGTGGATCACTTGAGGTCAGGAGTTTGAGACCAGCCTGGCCAACATGGTGAAACCCCCTACTCTACTTAAAATACAAAAATTAACCGGATGTGGTGGCAGGTGCTTGTAATCCCAGCTACTCAGGAGGCTGAGGCAGGAGAACTGCTTGAACCCAGGAGTCAGAGGTTGCAGTGAGCCAAGATGGCGCCATTGCAGTCCAGCCTGGGCGACAGAGTGAGACTCGGTCTGAATAAAAAAAGAAAAGAAATACAATATGATCCACACGAGCAATTGAAAACTCTTTGCTAAACACATTAACAAAGGAGTAAAATGAAAATGGTGAAATCAATTTTAATAATTTGTTTAATCACTGTATCTAAACAGTCTCCTTTTAACAGGTATATATATTTATATTTACATAAATATATAAATTTATTTTTATGTATGTTTTTAAATTTATTAAATTTGTATAAATTTTATTAAAATATATATGCAAATATGGTATTTAATAAATATGGTATTTAATGACACTATTTAAAGAGTGTCATTTTAACATGTATGTATATTTTTATGTTTACATAAATATATAAATTTACAGTTTATATTTTAAAATTAAATATGTACAAATTTTATTAAAATGTATTTTCATATATATTCAATCACTATATCAAATAGTCTCATTTCAACATGTATATATTTATATTTACATAAATTTAAAGCTTATGTGTATTTTTCAGTTTATTAAATTTGTACAAATTTTATTACAATATATTTATATGTAAGATAATTTATCACTATATGAAATAGTGTCATTTCAAAATGTATATTTATATAAATATATAAATTTTTATATTTTTTTTAATGTTAAATATGTACACATTTTATTAAGATATATTTCTGGCTGGGCGTGGTGACTTATGCCTGTAATCCCAGCACTTTGGGAGGCCAAGGCAGGTGGATCATCTGAGGTTGGGAGTTCGAGGCCAGCCTGACCAACATGGAGAAACCCCATCTCTACTAAAAATACAAACAATTAGCCGAGCATGGTAGCGCATGCTTGTAATCCCAGCTATTTAGGAGGCTGAGGCAGGAGAATCGCTTGAAACCGGGAGGCAGAGGTTGCAGTGAGCCGAGATCGTGCCACTGCACTCCAGCCTGGGCAACAAGAGTGAAACTCAGTCTCAAAAATATATATATATTTTTTTCTATATAAACATATGTTTATAAATATCATAAATGAATATATGTATTTTATAAGTATATGAAATAATTGTATACATATACACATAATTTATTTCAAATTTACATTTTTTAAAATATGTGTAAATATATTTAGAATTGTATATATGGGTATAATTATTTAGAATTATATATATAGTTATTTAGAATGTATTTAGAATTTTCTATATATAGTTATTTAGAATAGATTTAGAATTATATAGTTATTTAGAATAGATTTAGAATTGTATCCGTAGTTATTTAGAATAGATTTAGAATTGTATATGTAGTTATTTAGAATAGTGTATAAAGTTATTTAGAATAGATTAGAATTGTATGTATAGTCATAAGTGAGATAGTGCACATTCTGTTTTCGCACCAAGTCTTCAAATCCAGTGTCTATTGTACACTTAGAGCACATCTCAGTTCAGATGAACTGACATCCTCTGGGGGTTTGTCCCTTCCAAATCTCCTGTTAAAATAGAATCCCCAGTGTTGGGGGTGGGGCCTGGTGGGAGGTGTTTTGGTCACGGGAACAGATCCCTCATGAATGACTTGGTGCTGTCCTCACGGAAATGTGTGAGTTCTCACAATATTCGTTCATGTAAGAGCTGATTGTTAAAAAGAGCCTGGCTGCTCCTCCTCTCTCTCTTGCTCCCTCTCTCATCATGTGACACTCTGGTTCCCCTTGCCTTCCTCCACGCGTAAAAGCTTTCTGAGGCCTCACCAGAAGCTGAGCAGATGCCAATGCCGTGCTTGCTTCTTATACCATTTGCAGAACAGTAAGCCTAATACAGCCCTTTTCTTTAGTAAGTCACCCAGCCTCAGGTATTCCTTTATAGCAACACAAAATGGACTAAGACGCAAACCACATCCAAATGCCATTTGTGACTGGTGCCCCCAGTGCTGGCTAGCAGAAGTCTCATTTTGTCTTCCAGCTAACACTATGCTGTTCTTATGGAATTTCTCGGCCCTGGCCCTGAAGAAAGCATCTCTTCCTTCCCTGGCTCTTCTCTCGTCATCACTCTCAACCATCTGGTAGTTTTCTACGTGTGCTATTTAGCCAGAACTATCCCCGGTAGAGGGGCCTCCCTGCACACAGCCCAAGCAAATTCACACAGGACTAAAGTCTGCTTCTTTATTGGATCATTGCCTTTCTGGGTAAACTGAGAGTCAGTGGGGGTTCAGAATTTCTGTCAACCTCCTAGACAGGTCTTCTCAGGCTCCAGACACCCTAGATGCTTGTGTCTTGACTTTCATTTGGTTCTACCATATGCAGAATACAAATAATCTATAAATGGAAAAATGCGGCTAGGCGCGGTGGCTCACACCTGTAATTCCAGCACTTTGGGAGGCCGAGGCGGGCGGATCACGAGGTCAGGAGATGGAGACCATCCTGGCTAACACGGTGAAACCCCATCTCTACTAAAAATACAAAAAATGAGCCGGGTGTGGTGGCGGGTACCTGTAGTCCCAGCTACTTGGGAGGCTGAGGCAGGAGAATTGCTTGAACCCGGGAGGCGGAGCTTGCAGTGAGCTGAGATCGCGCCACTGCACTCCAGCCTGGGTGACAAAGTGAGACTCCTTCTCAAAACAAAAAGAAAGGAAAAATGCTAGTTATATGCTAGTTATGCAGGTACTGGTTAGGGTCTCCTGGCCGCCCCCCACCCCACACCCTTTGTAATCTCAACTCTTCTGTTGACGGCACTTCACTACTTTCCTCCTGATATCCTCTTTCTGTCCCAGGATCTCATCCAGAACCCACATTACATTGAGTCATGCCTCCTCTTGGCTGTGACAGTTTCTCAGACTTGTCTTGTTTTTCCTGACCTTGAAGCAAGGTCTTGTACATGACTCTTGTATGGGTTTTTTGATTTAAAAAGATATTTATTTGGCTGACGGTTCTGCAGACTGTTCAAGAGTCAAATACAAGACCTTACTTCAAGGTCATCCAAAGCAAGGCCTGCAGACCATACAAGGACCCCTAGCCACAAATGGCACTTGGATGTGGCTTGTGTATTAGTCCATTTTGTATTGCTGTAGAGGAGTATCTGAGCTGCATGATTTATAAAGAAAAGAGGTTTCTTTGGCTCACGTTCCTGCAGACTGTACGAGAAGCATTGTCTTGAGGACAACGGGTCAGGTATTTTGTCAAGCTGTCCCTCTGTTGGGATTTGTCTGCAATTTTTCTCATGGTGAGACTAGGGTGCTTGGCTTTGGGGAGGATGATGGGAGAGATGAAGAGTCATTCTCATTACATCATATCAAGGTACATACTGTCAGCATGACCTACCACTGTTGACATTGGCTTGATCACGTCTGAGGTGGTGTTTGTCAGATTTCTCCACTGAAAAGTTATGATCTCCCTGACCATGCTCTTTGAAAGGAAGTTTCTACATGCAACCCACACTTAACGGAGTGGGGAGTTGTATTTCATCTTCTTGAGAATAAAATATCTACATCCATTATTTGGAACTCTTCTGCATGGGAGATTTGTATCTCCTCCTTCCTTTATGTATTTATTCAATTATTGACTGCCTTGGGTTACCATCTAATATTATTTCATTTCATTGCCCAAGTCGTTTCAGCTTTGAGCACCAGGAGCTCTTTCAGGTTGGCTTTTGCTTATCTTTCACACACCCCCAGTTTTTTGTGTGTTTGAGCATTTTCTTATTTGCTTGTACTACAAGATGGTCCAGGCATATCTGTATCACCCAAGCTCCATTCTTAGAATTAACCATTATTCCAGAGAGCCCTGGTACTTTTTATCTGAACATGATACTAGGAACCAAAGTGCTGGGTGAAATGACTTGTCAGTAGCATTAAAGAGACGTACTGGCTGGGCGCAGTGGCTCTTGCTTGTCAGCACAGCACTTTGGGAGGCTGAGGTGGGAGGATTACTTGAGTCCAGGAGTTCAAGACCAGCCTGGGAAGCTTAACGAGACAAAAAAAAAAAAAAAAAAAATTTTAAATTAGCTACTTGGTGCACACACCTGTAGCATTAACTACTCAAGAGGCTGAGGCAGAAGAATTGTTTAAGCCCAGGCATTTAAGATGACAGTCAGCTATGGTTGCGCCAATGTGCCCAGCCTAAGCAACAGAGCCAGGCCCCATCTCGAAAAAAATTAAAAAGTGCAAGAGTTTGAGATTACCGTCAGCTGTGATTGTGGCACTGCACTCCAGCCTAAGCGACAGAGCCAGGCACCATCTCTAAAAAAATTTAAAAGTGCAAGAGTTTGATCGCTATGATTGTGCCACTGCACTCCTGCCTGGGTAACAGAGCCAGGCCCCGTCTCTAACAAAATTTAACAAGTGCAAGAGTTTGAGATTACGGTCAGCTCTGATTGTGCCACTGCACTCCAACCTGGGTAGCAGAGCCAGCTCCTGTCTCTAAAAAAATAAAAAAGTGCAAGAGTTTGATTGCTATGATTCTGCACTCCAGCCTGGGTAACAGAGCCAGACCTTGTCTCTAAAGAGAATGAGGAGATGGTGGGGAGTTAGGGGAGGTAATCTTTCATCAGATCACCATTGATTTTTTTTCTTACTCTTTTTTTTCCTTTCCTTTGCATCTACTTAGGGCCCCTACAATGATGGAGAGCCCTGGTGGCTGTGGAGTCTTCAGTTTGCCTGCATGCCAGGTGCAAGCCAGGGAGTGGTAAGATCATCCCCCTCGTAAGCCACCAGCAGGCCAGGACTCCAGTGTGGAGGGATGGATCTCTGAAGGTCACTGCTCGGCCCTTCTCTGAAGACTGTCCACCAGCATGTCAAGCCAGCTGCACTGCGGGGGTGAAGGGTGGGATGACTGTCACTAAGGATTAAGGCCATCTCCCCCACCCGTCACTCATTCTGCCAAGCCATCACCGAGCAACCAGGACTCATGGGCAGTGGCACCTCCGGGGCCGTGCTGGCATCTGTAACCTCCATCCATCCTTGTGGTCCCATCCAGCCATCTCTGCCCCCCTGCCTGGCCCTCTCTGTTGTGAAGTTTTCATCCGCCTTCCTCTTGTGCAGAGTCAGAATTCACAGAGCTTCCAATGCCCAAGGGAAGCCCAGTGGAACTGTTCACTCTTAGTACTGGCTGGAGACGTCCAGAGGACTAATCGGCTTCAGATTACACCATCGTTAAAGTGGGTGCGACTCGGAGGCTTGCCCTACTTAACTCTCCGATGCAATCCCTGCTGCCAGCTTCATACAGACTCCATCCAGTGCAAATGGCTTCCTTCTGTGTGCAGAGCAAATGCTCCAGGGAAGAGACACACAGGATTCCCCGTCATCATTGTTACCAAGTGACCCCAAATATTCCTATCCTGTCTGTTGCAAAGAGGAAAAGTCACGTCTTGGAAGAACGGCATCACCCTACAAATTCAGACTAGACACTTTGCACATGAAACAAGAATCCCGGAAATTTCTAGAAGCAAATCTTGCATTCGTGACCGTCAGACTCTGTGGGATGTGTAAGGTACATTCTCAGTCTCATCACCTGTGAGAGTTGCATTGCCTAGTCCAGCAGCCGCGGAGGACTCTCTGCTGTTCTTCCTCTGCTTCACTTAACATGTGAGAGTGAAGAGATGAAGATTGAGGCGGGCCCTGCACGAGGGGACATGTTTGACAGACAGCAGCAGCCCAGCGACACCCAGCCCCCATCCTGTCCGTATGCACCCTGGTGAGCATTTTCTGCAGTCTCCTAAACGCTCCCATTATTCTGTTTTGCTGGTGTGATGTGTGACACCTCAGTGTCGTTATAGCTTCTGCCTCCTCCGTGTGGAGAGAGGGCATAAAGACAGAGCTGAGATATTATGGCTATTCCAGAAAATAAAATATTTTTTGAAACCACACGGCTCAGGTGCAGCTCTTTGTGTCGTTGTGAAAACAGAGCCCTAGCCTGTATACCATTAGCTTGGTAGCGCTTGGATAACAGAGTATTCACTGGCCCTGCAGAGGAGCATGGGTGGAAATGTATTTATCAGCTGATGTTGGTGCAGTGTGCTGTTTGGGCACTATTATTATTATTATTACTTTATTATTATTATTATTATTTAGACGGAGTCTCACTCTGTCGTCCAGGCTGGAGTACAGTGGCATGATCTCGGCTCACCACAACCTCTGCCTCCCGGGTTCAAGCAATTCTCCTGCCTCAGCCTCCCAAGTAGCCGGGATTACAGGTGCCCACCACTAGGTATGGCTAATTGTTTTGTATTTTCAGTAGAGACGGGGTTTCGCCATGTTGGCCAGGCTGGTCTCGAACTTCTGACCTCAGGTGATCTGCCCGCCTCCGCCTCCCAAAGTGCTGGAATGACAGGAGTGAAGCACCGCGCCCGGCCTGTCGGTGCATTCTATAGAATGAGATGCCCCTCACACGGTCTCCAGAGCTGTGGGAAGGGATGCTTTCCATTAAAACAACAGCAACAAAAAGTGGCTGGCAAAGTTCGAATGATGATTTTAACAATCGAGTTATTCAACAGTCATTTTCCTCAAGGAGGTCTGGTTTCTCTGTGTCTCAGAAAAACTCAGGAAGGCTCCTAACCCTTTGCACAGGGGAACACAGCACTCCACCCTTGCTGGTCTCAGCTTTGACTGGGCAGGCGCTCAACGTGCCAGTCAGACAACTAGGCAGAAAAACCTGCTGTAAGATTCACACAAGTACCTCGACCTACCCCAGAACAGGGTCAAAAGCTAAGAGACAAAGTTTGAAAAGGCATGTTTCATGAGCACAATTTTAATTGTATTTATGATTAAAGAATAACATGTTTTCCTTTTTCTATTTTTTTTTTTTTTCTTTTTTTTGAGTCAGAGTCTCACTCTGTCCCCCAGGCTGGAGTGCAGTGGTGCCGTCTCAGGTCACTGCAACCTCCATCTACTCGGCTTCAGGCGATTCTCCTGCCTCAGCCTCCTGAGTAGCTGGGATTACAGGTGTGTGCCACCATACCTGTATACTTTTTTTTTTTTTTTTTTAGTAGAGACGGGGTTTCGGCTTGTTAGCCAGGCTGGTCTTGAACTCCTGAACTCAGGTAATCTGCCCACCTCAGGTTCCTGAAGTGCTGGGATGACAGACGTGAGCCACCGCATCCCATCGACTCATGTCTTAATACAGTTATTTTATTATTAGCCCCAAGAAGGAAAACTTGGCAGACACATGGCTAAGGGTTAGTTTTCATATCTACACGGCTAACAAGATGGCTGGGTGTTTGAGGGGGCTGTGAGGAGGATACATTCCTCTGGGAAGGGGCCTTTATAATCTTGGGGTGACGGATGGCATAAGATAGTTTTCGTTCATCTAAGAGAATGTGGGAATATCATCAAGAAGTGGCTGAGACTCGGTGCAGTGGCTCATGCCTATAATACCAACACTTTGGGAGGCCGTGGAGGGAGGATCCCTTGAGCCCAGGAATTCAAGACCAGCCTGGGCAACACAGTGAAACCCCATCTCTACTAAACATTTTAAAAATTGCCAGGCGCAGTGGCTCACGCCTGTCATCCCAGCAGTTTGGTAGGCCGAGGCGGGCAGATTACCTGAGGTCAGGAGTTCAAGACCAGCCTGATTAACATGCCGAAACCCTGTCTCTAACAAAAAAAACAAAAAAACAAAAAAAACCAAAAGTATACAGGTATGGTGGCACATGCCTGTAATCCCAGCTACTCGGGAGGCTGAGGCAGGAGAATCGGTTGAACCTGGGAGGCGGAGGTTGCAGTGAGCTAAGATTACGCCACTGCACTCCAGCCTGGGTGACAGAGCAAGACTGCATCTCAAAAAAAAAAAATTTAAAAAATTACCAGGCATGGTGGTGTGCACCTGTGGTCCCAGTAACACAGGAGGCCAAGATGGGAGGATTACTTTCGCCTGGGAGGTCAAGGCTGCAGTGAGCTATGATCGCACCACTGTGGTGAGCCGAGATCGTGCCACTGTACTCTGTTGCCCTTGTCCTGGGTAACAGAACAAGACCCTGTCTCAAAGTAAAAAAAAAAAAAAGGAAATAAAAGTGGCAGGCTTGGTGGTAGTATGGGGGCCCAAGCATTGGTGGGGGGAGCTCTAGAGGAAGGCAGAGCTTCCCGACGGGTTGCCGTAAGACACATGCAGACTCATGGGTGCATACCCTACATTCAACATTGCCATACAGACTTGATCTCTCTACCGCTTGTCCTTAGGTATAAAATAAGGTGAGAAGCCTCTCTTAACGGAAGGGGTCAGGGTCCATCCAGTACAAAGGTCTGGACAAAGAGCATAGTCTAGATCTAGAATCGGGTTGCTTTGGCTTAAAGCCCAGTTTGGGCATACAGTTGTAACATAACCAGAGCCAATTCCTTAACCTTTGCCTAACTAAGGTACCCCAGTTTGAAAAACAATGATAACGATAATATAATGCCTACCACAACACAATATTTCTACATGCATATTACACAGAAATATGTTAATACGGACTGGGCACAGTGGCTCACACTTGTAATCCCAGCACTTTGGGAGGCTGAGGCAGGCAGATCACTTGAGGTCAGAGGTTCTAGACCAGCGTGGCCAACATGGTGTGAAACCTCATCTCTACTAAAAATACAACAACAGGCCGGGCGCGGTGGCTCAAGCCTGTAATCCCAGCACTTTGGGAGGCCGAGACGGGCGGATCACGAGGTCAGGAGATCGAGACCATCCTGGCTAACACGGTGAAACCCCGTCTCTACTAAAAAATACAAAAAACTAGCCGGGCGAGGTGGCGGGCGCCTGTCATCCCAGCTACTCGGGAGGCTGAGGCAGGAGAATGGCGTGAACCCGGGAGGCGGAGCTTGCAGTGAGCTGAGATCTGGCCACCGCACTCCAGCCTGGGTGACAGAGCAAGACTCCGTCTCAAAAAAAAAAACCCACTAATAGAACACAAACACTCCCCACAACACCACCTCCACCCACTCCACACCCCCACCAACAATAAACGCCGCCAATATGTTATAACAGCTGCCATTGAGAAGATAGAAGAGTAGAGAAAAAGAAGAAGGGTAAGAAAAAAAAGAATAATATAGTAAGAAAAGAAGGTATAAGAGGCAGATGGGGAAGAATAAGAAAACACGTTATATATTGATAAGATGAACAAACAAACACACCCAAACACGTTAATTTCAGACATAAATGATTGATTATTTATTACGTTCATTGATTGATTTTCATTTTCACCCACATTCACAGTGAGACATGACATAACACTTCCTGCTTCTTCGAACATTAACAATAAATTTAAGAATGGATAACAATAATCATAACACCATAACAATAATATCACAAACATCAATAACAACAACATTTCATCGCATCGCTTCGCGCCACACTAACCATAACAAAGCGTGGCTCACACCTCAATCAGCACTGGAGGCCAGGCATGATCACCGGTGCCAGGAGATGATACCATCCTCACAAGCCACTGCAAAACCCATCTCTACTAAATACAAAAATTGACAGCCGGTGGTATGGTACCTGTAGTCCCAGCTACTTGGGAGGCTGAGGCAGGAGAATTGCTTGAACCCGGGAGGCGGAGCCAAGAGCTGAGATCATGCTACTGCACTCCAGCCTGGGTGACAAAGTGACTTCAAAACAAAAAAGAAAAGGAAATGCTACAGGTACAGTTATGCAGGTACTGGGTTAGGGCCTCCGGGCCGCCTCCCACCCACCTTGTAATCTCAACTCTTCTGCTGACGGCACTTCACCATCCTCTCTCCTGATATCCTCTTCTGTCCCAGGATCTCATCCAGAACTCACATTACATTGAGTCATGCCTCTTGGCTGCAGAAGTCAGACTTGTCTCTGTTTTTCCTGACCTTGCCACACTTCCATGACTCTTACAGTTTTGATTTTAAAAGATATTTATTTGGCTGATGCCTGCAGACTGTTCAGAGCCAACATAAGACCTTACTTCAGTCAGTCTGTGCTGCCTGCAGGACTATACAAGGACCCCCAGCCAAACGGCACTTGGATGTGGCTGAAATAGTCCACGTGTGCGTGGCCGCCCTCCTCCTCCTCCTACCGCCACAGAGGAGTATCTGAGCTGCACGAGGTAAAGAAAGAGGGTTTCTTTGGCTCAATGCTCTGTGAGATCAACAGAGAAGCATTGTCTGAGCACAATGGGTCAGGGGATGGCTGTCGTCCTCTGTTGGGATTTGTCTTAATTTTTCTCATGGTGAGACTAGGTGCTTGGTTTGGGGAGGATGATGGCAGAGATGAAGAGTCATTCTCATTGTATCATAGTCAAGGTACATACTGTCAGCATGACCTACCACTGCTGCACGACATTGGCTGATCACGTCTGAGGTGGTGTTTGTCAGATTTCTCCACTGGTGTTGGCTGATCTCCCTGACCATGCTCTTTGAAAGGAAGTTCTACATGCAACCCACACTTAACGGAGTGGGAGTTGCATTTCATCTTTGAGAATAAAGATATCATCCAATATTTGAATCCTTCTGCATGTGAGAGATTGAAATCTCCTCCTTCCTTTATGTATTTATTCAATTATTGACTGCCTTGGGTTACCATCTAATACATTTTGGGTTTTATTGCCCAAGTCGTTTCCAGCTTTGAGCATCATGAGCTTCTTTCAGGCTGGCTTTGCTTATCTTTCACACACTCCTCAGCTTTTTGTGTGTGTTTGAGCAGTTTTCTTATTTGCTTGTACTTCATAAGATGGTCCAGGCATATCTGTATCACTCAAGCCTCCATTCTTAGAATTAACCATTATTCCAGAGAGCCCCGTACTTTTATCCGAACATGATACTAGGAACCAAAGTGCTGGGTGAAATGACTTACGGTAGCTGCGCAAAGAGGACGATTGCTGGGCGCAGGGTTTGCTGTCAGCACAGCACTTTGGGA